CGGCCTTTGTGGGCGGGGATGCTTTCATCACAATCACAGCGGCAGCTGCAGGTAGCAGGCTGGGTCACTCCCTGTCTGCGGGTGTCACACAAACTGAGGCAGAGGAACAATCAGACCCCTGCCTGCGGTGGAAATGCTTTATGACCCTAAAAGTTGGAGAAGGGGCGGCCTGGGGGGACACTAAGGGTCAAGGAGGCGGCCACATAACTCCGTCCCTCCCTACAAAGTGATGGGAGCCTGAGGTCTCTGCAGAAGCCTGGCCACATCCAGCTACTCAAGGACTTAGATTGGGATGCAGAGTTGGCCTTAGATTAGGGGTCAGGCTGTGGCCCCAGCTCCTCTGAATGACCTTGAAAGATCCAGTCATCTCTTGCTCTCAGTTTCCCCAAGGGCAAAATGGGGCCGATGTTCAGAATCGGAGACACAAATGGATGGGAATGAGTTTTGTAAACAGACAGAAACTAAGCCTATGGGAGAAGGGTTATTCTATCTTCTGAGGATGGGGGAGCTCAGGGAGGGCCAGGGAGGGAGCCCCAATCCCCCCTGAAGCTCAGGGCACTGACTCGGGACCCCGAGGTCTCCAGCCCCCTTGTTCTGTGCCCACCCCCAAAGGACGAGCCTTAGGAAGACTCTGGTGGGAAAAGTTGTGAGTATCTGGGGAGGGGGCCAGGAGGATGGTGAGGACAGCGGCAGAGGGGAAACCTCCGCAAGCCCCTCACCTTCTCTGGCCTCCTACTTGCCCATCTGTAGACTGTGGCCACGCTCTCCTCTCACCTGAGGTTGTTGTGAGGGTTGAGTGTGTGTCTGGCACACGACGGGCAGAAGGTACATGTTTTTCAGTAACAACCAATGCCAAGAATATTGGTGAAGAGACAGCAGGGGCTGGCCTTGGGGCAGGACTCCTAGCTGCCCCTGCCTCCCCCTGCCGCAGGCCATGGGGTAGGGGCCAGAGGGTCACAGCAGGGTCTCCAGTCCACCTTAGAAAGGTGCGTTCTGCCCCACCTGGTGGGCCCCAGGTAGGGTTCTAGCTGCTCTGTCTCCCAGCAGGAAACCACCACCATGCGGGGGCTGCCTGGCCCACACAGACCGCTGAGCTCCAGGCATCCTGGGCTCTCCTGGCCGATGCCAGGAGGGCGGGGGCCACTGGAGGAGGAAGGGTAGGGATGACAGACCGGGGAGTAGGGCCTGGAAAGCTGAGGAAGACTCTCCACACAGGCAGTGAGAGGGATGGTTCCAGGGTGCAATGGGGATGGGGCGTGGATGGGGCGGGGGGGGGGGGGGGGG